TATTATATGGTTACGGTTTTACCGTATATGCTTTTTTAATTTCGTCTAAAATCAATTATACGGTATAGAAGTTTATGGCCTCCCCTCTATTTCTTGTGGTAATGATTCCTCTGGCATTACGAATTTTACCACAACGATGCTATCCATAGATCAAATTATTTTGTGGATTAGATTTCACTTGACTGTCTATGACCCCGTTGCGTTTGCCCTTGTAGAAGTTTTGTATAAATTAATATAATAAAAAAGTGTTGTGAGAGACTGCTTTAATATGTTCTCAAAAATTATTTTTGAGAAGGTAAATTATTTTAGATACAATATTATAAATTAAAAATATATATTTAAATTCTTTTATATTTTAATATATAAAATATATCAATTTTAATTTTAATAGAATGATACTTTTATTTAAAAATAATACTACTTAAATTTATTCTATGAAAATATATAAAATTTTAAAATATTTTTATAAACAAATAATTTTTTAATCTCACAAATAACTTATTAATCATAAATAATTATATCTTAATATAAATTATAAATTTATAAATCATAAAACAAACCCAACAGCAATAAATGAATATTAAATAACATTTGTCAAACATAAAAGTCAAAATATATGCGAGAATATTTTAGAACTCGTACTCTGTTCTCCTCCTCTTCCTAACCTCAACTACCCACTTCAATATTTTTCTATTTATTTTTCTTAAATCACAGTTTACTTGTAAAATAATAAGGCAAAATTTTTAAAAGATAATATGTACATTAGATTGTGAAGGAGAAAGAAGAAAACGAAGAGGGTAGGTTTGAAGAGGTGGAGGAGGTAGGTGGAGTACCAAACCAATAATATATATATATATATATAATTCATAGTTGCCTTTAACGTAAACCAACTTGCGAATTCGAAAAAATAAAGGAATTTTAATGGCATCGTTCCAAATGCGAACCTGTGTCGTCCTCCACTCACAATGGTCGCCGCAGCTCTCTTCCGATTACAATGGGCAGCTGGCGGTTGGCGGCGGCGCGTGCAGGGTGAGAGGCCGATTCATCGGCCATCTTCGTTGCAGCAGCAGCAGCAGCAATGCGGAAAAGAGTGTCCCGAATTCAAACTACGTAGTGCCTCTGGACAAGACGTTTTCACCCTCCAACTCCTTCATCACTCGCCCTCTCGTCGAAATCCTACGCGATCTCAATAAGCGCATCCCTGAGAATAGAATCAACGCTCCTTCTAGCTCTTCTGCTTCATCCACGTTCCTCCCCTGGTACTAATTCGTAGCTTCTTTTTTTTTTTTGGATTTCTCAATCTTAATCGATTTTGATCTGATATTTTCTTCTTGGATCGCCCCAGGTACCATGCCAATCGCATGCTAAGCTTCTATGCCCCTGGTTTGTCCCCTCCCCTTATTTTTGAGTTTCCAGTTTGAATTGCAAATGGTTTTTAGAATTGTAGGATTCAATGTTTCTCACAGGGTGGTGTGGAGAAGTACGCGATGTGAAATTCGCTGATGATGGAACCATCACTGTTGTATATCGACTCACTATTCGGGGATCTGATGGAGAGGTCTGTTTCCTTCTCATCTTTTTCTTTTTACTTGTTTATATTACTGTTTTCCATCTAATTATCCTCACTGTGATCACCTAACAATTTTAAGATTCTACTTGCTTTCCAATATCTGTTTCCCTTTGTTTTGCAATCAATTGTTTTTCTCCTTTTGTTGCTTCTGTTAGCTTTGCTTTGCTTTCCCCTCATTTTCTTATTGGAAGGAAACATTTAGCCCCCAATTTTAAAGTTAATTGGGAAGTGAGAACAGAAAATTATCTTTATTAGGAAGGAACTACTTGGACTAAAGAGTTGTCTGTCATTATTATGATTTCCATTCAATCATTTTTCCGTGTTTTTAGACGACCTGTTAGATGATGATGATGATGATGATGATTAATTTGGAGGTTTGTTGCAGAACTCAGTGGCATTGTGGAACTTAGAGCTAGGGAAATTTTCTTTTATCTGAAACTAGTACTCATTCGAAGCATAGAATGATGAATAGGGAACCCTAGGCTCGCTGGGTACTTACGAAAATAGTAGAAGGGAATAGTTTTGAAACCGAAAACCAGTTTTTCAGTTTGTATTGTCCTTTTGTAAATGAGAATAGCGGCGAATTGATCTTTGATCTTATTTTTTTGGTTGGCTGGGGGTGGAACAGGGGTTGTAGGGCTAAGCTGACACTTCAGTAAGGGTATACTTGTGTAGAATGACTGCTCCTATCGCTCATCAACTTCTTTTATGAGATTTGCGATGATCTCAATGAGGACTTTTGGTTGTGCAATTGATCAACCTAGTCTAAACATGAAGGCAAACCAAAATATTAGAAATTATTAACAAAATCAAATAGAGGTGGGATTGGGCGGGGCAAGGATGGATGTATTCAACATCCATGGAGCTGGTAGTGATTTTCAAGATTACAAATCCAGTGGAGTGGGGCAGATGGTGGAGCAGCACGTACCAACTGGGGAACGATGTTGAATTTGACAATGAGTCCCCACCCTACTCCATTTCCATCCATAGTTGCACTCCGGGAAAGAATTGGATGCACTAGCTAGCCTCGAAAATGCTTAACTCAGTATGAGAGAACAAGGATGGTAGTGTGTGAAAAATGCTTGGATCTTGTTTTAATTTGGCAACTTGGATACAAATGTGGTGGAGTGACCCGGACCCCTATTTATAGGTGATGCCCCTCCAATGACTCGTACATTTACAAGTGTATGGCTAACGTACATGAAATACAATTCTAGGTCTAATATCTAAGCTTAATGCGGTTTAAGAGGGAAGCAGATGTTGTAGGTTCCTAGGGGCTTTTAGAGGCCTCCTTAAGGGTCACATGGGTATTGAGGTCCACCTCTCTAACAAACTTCGAAAAAATTGAACATACCTGTGCTAGATAACTTCTGGGGTATCATTCAATTTGTTGTAGATATAGGGGTTTCATATTTATGTATGAAAATTCCTGAATGTTTGTGATATAATGCGGGTAAACTAACCAATTTGGTGCTCACTTTTGTTGGTTGAGCAAGATATATACAGATTCTCTTTCTGACTCCTAATATTAGTATCACCTATGTTCTTATCAAAAAAAATTAGTATCACCTATGTGAAAGTTGCCGTCCCAGCAACTCGAATTCCATCCTTGTTCGTGTGATGCATATTTTAAGTTTAATCTTAGATGAAGCTGATCACAATCACTGTGGATCTCTAGGCCTTGTGCTCCGAACTTGGTTCTCTGATTGTCCTTTTACCTGCTCATTATCTAAACGTGTTACTGGGTATAAACTTCGGCGATGGTGATCTATTTAAAGTTGAAAGTAGATTATGACTTCCTCCCCTTTTTCTTCAACTAAAATCCATATGGAGCTTTCGGTTTATGAGACCGTTAATTCGAAGTTTGTTTAAAGAACTAAATACTGATAATTTTGATCAATTGAAGTAGAAAATGGAGAGTTTGTGGTCTTAACTTTGAAATTTACCCAGGTTGGTGCTGTGAATATTTAGTTCAACTTCATTGAAACTGTTTGTTTACTCTTGCACAGGCGCATCGCGAGTCTACTGGCACAGTATCATCCAGAGACAATAACATCGCGGATCCTGTTGCTGCAGCAGAAGAAATGGCCTTCTGCAGGGCATGTGCTCGATTCGGTCTTGGCTTGTATCTTTATCATGAAGAATAGATGCTATGGATAGCATGGAGGTTGGCCTTCCCAATATATGGTTGAGAACTTTGGGTTGTATTAAATCCTTGCTTTTAATGTGTATGTAAATAATCAGGTTACGCGTTTTGGTATTTTAAAAACCAAAGTTTTATTGGCCAAACTGGTGAGAGTTTTGATAGACCAAATATATGGTACTGCCTTTGCTACTGTTATGTTTTTTTATTAGATTATGTTCCAAGTAACTCCATTAACATAGAACACACTATGATTACATGGGATGATGGTATGAATATATTGGGAATTTATGATTAAAATGAAGGGTAAAGTATACAAAAGACCCCAATTATAGGTTGTTGTTTTGTTGAATCTTATAACTATTAAAAGTTGCAAAATGGACCTTTGACTGTAGGACATTGCTTTGGTAAGTCTTCGACTATTAAAAATTATTAAATGATCACTCGACTATTCATATGTTCTAAACTCGTCCTTTTCTGTTAAAAAAATAATGATCATTTGAGCTAGAGGTTAATCTTTTGATTGAGATATGATAAAATTTGATTCTAGAACCGGTTGAAATGTATTTTGTGGATCAACTTTTTTGTTTATATTATATTGTCGAGCCAGTGTTTGAAAGCAACAGTGATGTAAATAGACATTATTAAAATATAATTTTATCATATCTCAATCAACAAGTTAACATCGAGTTCAACGATCGTCAAATTTTAATGGAAAAAGACGAGTTTGGAACATATGAATTGTTTGGTGACCATTTTGTAACTTTTAATAACTAGGGGACTCAACAAAATAACACCCTATAATCAAGGACTATTTGTATACTTTACCCTAAAAATGAATTAGTTATGTAAAATTTCATATATATATATATATATATATATAAAAGTTTAAAGTAGGACGTAGGAATTTGTTTAATACAATATTTAAGTAATCCATAGTATCTTTAAATATCTAAATCAAAAACAATTGCATGAGGTGAATTCAAAACCGACACCAACAACAAATATCAATCGAAATATATATATAGTGTAAGACTAAAATGCATAATCTGGGGTAAGATATCCAATCACCAATGGTCTTAAATCATTGTAAAGCCGACTCAACATATCAAACCCAATATTGCTAATGACACTCCAACATTGCAGGTTAAAAGAAAGAAAAGCAATACTGAAGTAAAATGATACACACACGCACACATATACACCTCATCCAGGAAATGTGATTGTAGCTTATTAAGCATGAATTCTGAAAAAGCAATTGCCCTTTTTCATGATATCACAGTGAAGAAGGATACAAGTTCCCGTTTGATTTCATTTGCCTATCTGACACAGTTTGTTGGTTTTGCATGACTGATTTGTTTTTAGTGAAATTCAGCTTTCTTGTGGTAAAAAGGATAAATCCTACAAACAATAGCAGAGGTACCAGATACAACATTCCTTTCACGTAGTAAATGGATTTAATTCACAATTTAACCTATTTACATAGACTTGGTTCATAATTCAACCTATTTCATTTTACTCATCAATCAGGGGTTTAAGAGTTTTGCACCTGAATTTGAAGCCATCCAGGATGTGATCACATCCACAAGATTGTTTACGTCCTTTGATATTCCTGCACGAAGAACAGGTGCATCCACACCTAATGTATTGCTGACCTCTTTGGCAACAGTCTCCCATGGTGTTCCTGCACTCAGATTTGCCAAAAGCTCACTTCCACGATTCACTGCATCTGCCATTGCAGGTGGAACATCTGGTAGAGCCTGCAACATAGATGTATTATGAAGAATGCTTGCCGTTTCCAGCAAGGAAAGAAATTACAAACCCAATTGCTAGCTGGAATTGTTTTTAATCAGAAGCGCATTATTCTTAATTCCCGGCAATGATAAAAAATAAATCCTTCATTCATGCAAAAGGATTCTAAAGTAATTTGTAACAAGCATACTTGTTGTAGAGGAAGCCCGTGATCTCCTGGCAATGATCGAATTGACATGTCTAGCATTGAGCTGATGGCTGACTCTAAACTTAGCACCTGAGCCAAGTTTGAAGTTTCATCTATTGTATCATCCTTGAACTTTATTAGAAGATTCCTTGAAATGCCATAGTACGACTTTATCTGAAAAGAAATGAAGAATGATAAAAATTAACTTAAGATTTATCTCCAGACTCCAAGGAAAATGCAGTACTTTCGATCCAATTAATAAGAAGCATCTTCAAATTTTTAACATGTTCCACTTGAAAATGCAAGAACAGCGTTCTAGATTCACAAATACAAAAAACTCAGAATCTATCAAAAAAGATGTCTGGCTAATTAGGCAACTGATCAACTATGCCTCTCACCATTCAACATTGCCCTTAAATCTTCAGGAATAATGGAGAGGAGAAACATAAATGAGCATAATACTTTTTTTCAAACAGGAATGCTGATACTAGAGTGTTTTCCTATTCCCCTCCCAGCATTGCACAAAGTCTCAAATGCTTTTCTTGTGGCGCTATAACAAATCTAGAACCGGTTTATATAGTTACTATCATTCTTTCTTTTCTGGACTTATACCGAGAGGGATTGATTAGACCTTTCAGAATATTGGTCAACAAGAGAGGCTCTCACAAGTTTCCCATAAAGAGAACACATCAATTAGAAGAAATGCCACAGTCTAATTCATCTAGACATGGATCAAAACTATCTACCATGAGATCCAAGCACCAGCCATGCAGGTTATTACATTTTGTCTGTAGTGAAAGATCTTATAAACAAAGAGAGAATAAAAATGTTCAATTAAACAACCCAGGAACAAGAGAGTAGAGATTTTACATACAAGTCGTCGAGTTTCTTCTGGTTTTGGAGAAAAATCTTCTCTTCCATTGACCAAGTCCATGTACAAGGGAGGAAGTTGCTCAACTAATGGAAGAACCTGCTTCATAATGGGAGGACTAAGGCTCTCTAATTGCTTTAGTGTCATCTCAGCCTGCAAGTAGTTTGTTCAAAATGGGATGTGTCATTCATTCCAGAACCACATAACGAATAAACTCAATTTTGAGAAAACAAAATGAAGTATTGCCCCTGGATGGAAGACAAATTTCAGGAAACTGAAAAGAAACGTAAGACAAATTTCACACAACAGTATCTGTCCTTTTAGGCAGAAATAACTTGAGATGCGCTCCTCGTGTCAAACTATCATACTTAAGAACTGAAAAGAAAATGGTGAACTAACTAGAAAGTCACTCATATAATATATATGGGGAGAGATAGAGAGCAGGTAAACGGAGAAAGGAGCAAGTAGGGTTCGGGATCCACAGCAAATTCTGAAATAGAAGCAAAAACTTTATCAAGAAAGAAAATGGAATCTTTTCGGGAGAAAGAACAAAGAAAAATGGAAACGAAAGAATTATAAAATGATGCAAAGAAAAGAAACATATAGACTTTAAAAGTAGCCTTGTATTTTCTGTATACCGTAACCAACACATAAGTCAATTTCTTGATATTTCCCTCAATTTCTCTCCTTTGAATTTTCATTGCTACTTTCCTTCCCTCAAAAGTTTCATAAACCAAACAAAACCTTAAGATTACCGAGAAAACACCCCCCCCAAAGAATATAACTACAATGTCATATGTCACAAAAGCACCTACTCTGATGTGAGATTTAAAGACCAAAAGTGAAAATTGGTAACTATATAAAACTGCAACCGCAAGTAGATCCAAACACGAGTTCTCAAAGCAGAAGTAGGAAAAAAAACCTAAGATATCATCCTTTACAAGATAGCAAAGTACCCTCACACCAGCTATGCTTCAGGAATAGAGAATTAACATAAGGTTGGGTATCAGAATTCACAAGAATTGAAGTCTCTTTTATTGCATCAAAAGGAAAGGAGTCATATCGAATAATAAAGCTATAATGATAAAAAAATTAAAGAATTCCCAGGAGGATAAGGCCATCCCAAAATTAAATAATGTTTACCCTAAGTCAAGTGTAGTCGATAAATCCATGTACTTAACAGGTCGTAATACTACTAATCATGATCAGGGCCAAAATGTACGAAAAATAATTTTTTTCCAAATCATATCAACTAATAAAACTATAGGAAACAATTGAAGTATGCCAAGGAGGAAAGGGCTGTCCCAAATTAAAAAAATGTTTACACAGAGTCACTTGTAGTCAGCAAATCCATGTAATTAACAGGTCTTAGTTTTCCTAATCATAATCAGGGCCAAAATTTAAGGCCAATATATTTTCTCCTAATCATAATAAACATTTGACGTTAATCAAGAAATTCTCTCTCTCTCTCTCTCTCTCTTTTAAGAGATATCAATCAAGAAGTTAAAAGTAGTGATTATGAATAAATAAGCAAGTGTAAGCTTTGTTTATTTGAATGTTTGCATGTAAATCAGGAAAGAAACTCGAGTTTTGTTTTTACCCCCATGCGAATTGTGGGTGTTGATGCAATTTGTGATAGAAAGGGTCCGAAGCTTTGGGCCATCGGCACAAGAACAGGTGAGAACAATGGGATAGCTACGCTTGCTTCCTGCAGGATCATAAAATATATCTTATTTCACAGGAGTAGTTATAGGGATGCTATCTTAGAACAATACATAAGCAGTAAAAAAACAGTATGAGAGATCTACTGACCAGTTTCAATTTTCAACCTTAAGGGAAATGAGAAATATGCAAAGTGAAGGCGATCAATCTCATTTATTTGGTTCAGCACAGATTGTAGAGACAGTAAAGAAAAGGTGGGAGATGAATCTTTTACTTGTATTTTCTATGTTATTTAACTTATAATTTTTCTCCAAATCAGATTCATATGCAAGTTGCTATGTGGCATCTTTTTGATAAACCGATTTGATTTGAGAATATGTAGATTCCTCCACGCACTACTTTTCAGTAGCGTTAGGAATGCATAACAAGAAGTTCAAATACCTTGTTGTTGAATGCCATTAATACATTGCCACTTCTTGGCACGGCATATCTTGAACCTGTACAATGAATTCATTAATCAAATAACTGGAAGCAAAAGCAGGAGCATCCTTTGGATGAATAGCATACAAGAAGATCTACTAATACCAATCAAAAGGTGGATGACAGAACCCAAAGAATGGCCAATACCAAATGTAGGAACATCATGCACCTGTGCCATGACCATAAAGTCACCATTTTAATTTCTTCCAAAAATGAATCCGGAAAAGTGCAGAGGAGGGATTTCAATTGGAAGAACGTTTATTTGGATGATTACAGTAAGCACTCACTGTTTCTTGTAGAAACCGTAAACACCTATCAAATTTGAACTGGACTTCATCCGCAATGAAGAAGTAATCAAACCCACTAGCATACGGTGTTGCAATTACCAAAACACCCCTTGATCACAGAAAAGATTAAATAATGAATTCTCTTAATTCTCGGTAAGATAACCCAATTAGGCTCCAGCTTCAATAGGATTAGATAGCAGTTTTGGTCAAAAAGCATACATATAAGGGGGAAAATAAGCCCTATTAGTACCACACTAGAAATGTGAAATATTCGGTTAGCAGGCAATGGATAACTAATAACAACACTCACTTTTCAGCAAGACGCTCCAGAAACAAACGATAGGTAAGCTGAGGAGCGGCTCCAACAAATATACCACCAACAAAATGAACAACTGCTCTAGGTTTAGAGCCTTTCGGTTTGAGAACCCATGATCCCTGGATGCATCAAAAGCAAGCAAAAAGATGAGATGCTGAACATGAAGAAGTTAGAAAGAGAAGCAATTCCTCAAATACATAAAAATAAAAATCGATTTAATCAACAAAAACAATATACCCAATTCAAAGCTTATAGAATTAGAGTGGGAAAAACAATTAAAATCAGGTAAGAACCTCGACTTGACTCCAATCGCCCGAACCACCCCAAGCACCTTGCGATTGCCTTATAGTGTCAGTAAGTAATCTGAAAAACACATCAGAAGTAGATTAAGAATCGAGAAAGTGGAAGTATTGAGAGGACAATAATCGTGTTTATATACCTCTCGATGTCGCGGTAGAGCTGAACAGAAGTGGACTGTGGCCGGTTGTTTCGATCGGAATCATCGTAGCTACAAAAGATTCCGGGAGTGGTAAAACGACGGCGAATAGCGGGAGTATGCAGAGGAAACTTGAGAGGTGATTCAGTGAAGCATCGAAGAAATCCAGTTCTGTGGGAACGGAACTGAATAGGGGTGGGAGTCAAAACGCAATGAGCCATAACCTTTCCTTCTGGATGTCAGTTGTCAGCTTCTCTCTTCAATTTGTTAGTTTCTGTTACTTGGAAGAAACAAATACTTGTTTTATATATATATATATTCACTTTATTATTTATATTTATATTTTATATGAAAACTATAGGTTTTAGTTGAAAGGATAAGTTATAGGATTGATAAATGTTATTTAAATTTTATATATTTTTCTTAATTTAAAAAATATAATATTTTATTATTTTTATTTTTAGTTAAGGGTTATGCACAATTGATTTCCGATGTAAAATGTTGTTTTATTGAGTTCATTAATTATTGAAAATTATAAAATAATTTTTTGATTATATGACATTATTTTATTGAGTCTTTCGATTATTAAAAGTTACATAATGATTTCACGAATATTCATATATTCTAAACTCATATTTTGTTAAAAAATTGACGATAGTGCCGAACATTAACATGTTTGACTGAGATATAATATTCGTTTGAGATTTTATGATTAAATTTTATCATATCATAGTGAGTTGGGAAACGCTTAACTCAAACTGATCACCGATACAAAAACAAGCAACTGATGCATTTTGAACTCCCAAGGCATGTGGGATGGCCGATTCAAGGTGCGGGCAAGCGACGGTAGCAGCGGAGTAAACTCTTTTTCTCTATCATCATCGGCTCTTGTCGCTTCACGTCATTTTCATTATAGATCCTACACCGTGGCTGCCGATAATAATCTATTCGTTGTTATAGAAAGCTATCGACGAGGTAAGGAAAGAAAGCTTAACGTCATCATACAAAAATCACAGTGCCATTCAATTTGGTTATTTTTTTGGACATATGGTTATACCAAACTGCATTGCATCACAAACATGAGATTTAAGTTTTAGGATTGTTTTTTGTCTTCAACAGAAATTGTGGGGCTAATTTAACAGGGTATTAAAGAGCGAGAAAAAGATGACAGCTAATGTCTTATCTCACATTAAGATTGGGTTTTACAGATGTGGCTTGGACCTAGATTTTCAGGTGACCAATCCTTCGCCCGAGCTTCTTTGTTACATGTCCGTCAGACGAACGACGACGGAAAAACTAAACAACAATAGTGTGTGATGGGGAAACTAAGATTTGAGAGGAAAGCATATTAAAAAAATAAGTAAATTAAAATTATATTCTTAAATTATTTTGAATTTATAAAAAAGGATTATATTAGTATTTTATTTAAAGTTTAGAAGTTTAAATAAAATTATCTTTGTTTAGCTGGTGATGACACTAATTTTAATGTTAATTGTCATTGTTCAAAAATAAAAATTTTTTTTAAATAAAATTAATAATATGTCACATCATCAACTTAACGACATTCAACTTTCCGGTAAGTAAAACTTAAAAATGATAAAATAAGTGGCTAAAATTTAATGTTTTTGAATTCAATGGTTAAAAATTTACAAAAGTAAGAATAAGTTATCATTCTTGTCGTTTATCCTATTGTATCTTTTGGGATAAATTGAGATATTATCGATATTAAATGATGCAAAAAGTATAAAATAAAAATAATAATATAATTTATATTAGTTGGTTACGAAATTGTTGTCATATAACTCGAATACATGCATATTCTTTTGTCAAATATTATCACTCTATGTCGAGGGTTAATTTTCTTATGCCAAACAGATTAAACTTTTATAATTATATACCATATACTGTTCTCCAAAGAAATTGATTAATATTACATTAATTAATGATTAAACCAGTGCATCATACACACAAAAATAGTATAGGTTCAGTATTATCATGATCATGAGAACAAATTCTCCGAACAAATACTACATAACAAATACAGAAGGCCAGCCAACAATGAGGCTTGAAACAAATGAATGAAAAGCACCACCCCCAACGTGATCCATCCCATAGGCTTCCTTTTATATTTTTAGGGTGCGTTTGGTTCACGGAATATAAGATTACCAGTGGGAATAGGATTACCGGAATGTAACATTACCTAACACATTACTGGAAATGTTACATTACCGTGTTTGGTTTGTTTGGCAGTAATGTAAGATTACAGTATTTGGTTGAAGGAATAAAAGATTACTGGAATGTATATTTTACCAAATTGACCTTGTTCTATATTTTTTAACAAGTGAAATTCTAATTATTTAAATAAAAATTATTCATATAAAAATTCATCGATAATATATTTAAATAAAAATTCATTGATAATATATTATTTTATTATGTATTATTTTAATTTTAATTAATATTAAATTTTACATAATTTATTTAAAAAATATATTAAAATTTTACTTCAACATAATTTATATAAAAATATATCAGGTTCAATATTAGAGATTTTTAACTTTCACTATGTTATTTAATTTTATAAAAAGTAATTAACATATTCGAAAACTAGCACATTACTTGCAAATCATATACTACATAATAACAAAAAGAAGTATAACATTAACCATCAAAAGTTTGTACAATGTTCAGACTTACAAAAGATAATAACCATGACATTCTAAACTTAATCATATATGTTGGCTATATTATATACACAAAAAATTCTTCAAGTCAAAAGATTGACATATACTTAGCTAAGCTACACAAAAACGTTGGTACCATATTCTAAAGTCATAATAAAAAAGAGATCGATATAATTGTAGAAGGAACACAATTAAAATGATGGTCTAAATTGACAGTATATAGGACTGTAGAAGAAAGGGATTGACAACAAATTTGAATATTGAATAATAAACGGCAATAGTAGTTTACAAAAATTCCTAAAATCTCATCACAGTGACTAAGCTTCACTCACATGCAAACAAGAACAGAACTGTTGAAGATTCTCACAATCAAAGTAACACAACTCACAATCTTATTCCTAGCTTAGCTTTACTCATTATCTAAGGCTTCCTCAGCAGCAGCTGCCATCAACTCATCAAACTTCTCTGACTTCCTCAGCAGTATTTCAATCTACAATATTTTTTGATAACATGAAACTATATGCTATTGGAAATCCAACAAAAACCAATGGCTAAATTCAGTCAGTTGGCCACCATATTTTTACAATCCATGAGAACCATGATCATCAATACCAATTTCGTCAAAAAGTACATTACTTGTCTCCACCAATCAAAACCACTGTCTTCCCTGCATCCACACAACAAAGAGTAATAGATTTGCTTATGGCTTGAGTGCCATGGCTAGACCAACCTTAGCACTCTTTTCAATTGCTCTGGCATCCACTTCCCCGAATATAGTGAAGAGGGATTTTGGACGCCACTCATGCTGAATCAGTGCACTTGCTTTCCCATAGTTGTTCAGGCGAGCCTTCACTGTGGTTAATGGGTCAAGAGCATGTTGTGTACCATTCGTGAGAGTGTTCTCGTTAATTGAGAAACTATGGGTTCTCTCTGCCCCAACTGCGGTGTTAGTCAATGGGCTAACAATGTGGTAGTGGGAAGCAGTAAGAATGTCACCTTTATCATTCCAGTAATTATCAACAAACCCCCCCAAATCAAAACCAAAAACACAACAAGCAGAATGAAAGATTACGTGCAAAAGTAAAGAAATACTATTCAATACAAGTTTCATGTTATGAAAATATATGGACATAAAATGTTAATCCCAACTCTTCATAAAGAATTACTTGCAATGTTATGGAAGCAATGAGATCAGAATGGTTGATATTTAACCCATCATTCAATTTGGTAAAGTTTTCACTGGCGGTGTCAAATGAGAGATCAGTCCCAAAAGAAACACAATTGTTTCCAATCACACCAGAAAAGTTAACAAGAGGGTTTGCAGTCAATCCAATGTTGGTGCTTATGTTAGCATATTCATGCTGATATTGTAGCTCGACCTTGACAAATTGCAATAAGAAAAGTTCAATGAACCTGAGAATTAATGTTATTGTTAAATGATTAAAAATGGACGAAAGTAGTACAACTGAATTTTACTATATATTAATCCCTAACCTACCAATTAATAGAATTTATGTCCCAGTCCGCCTGATTCATCTCTCATATCAACTACACAATAACCAGAGACCTCATTATATATCTAATTGGTTATAATGCATATATATCATGATACAAAGTTTGAGTTATAAAAATGAGATGAAAGCTAAAATGTATATTTTGTTACAAGTAAGACTCACTTTTCTCTATGGCTAGCCCATGGTTCTTCAATATCTCAGCAATGGTAACAACAATAGCAATAGTTGTCAGGCAGCATAGAAAGCTAGTTAAAAGAAAAACAAGAGAAAGAAACAGTTATGTTTTCCTCAACATTCAAAACCAAGAGCCGCATTGCAACACAATCATAAATCACGTTCCATAAATATACACATAGCATGTTTGTATGTCAAGGTAATGTGTTGTATTTCAGCTCGAGTGGTTTAAAACCAATCGTTCACTTTGTTCCTTTGATTACATTGAAGTAGTCATGAAAGGTAACAAGAATAAAACAGTTTAAGAGCTCCATGATATTTTAGCCACAAAGGTTGAAGCTATCAATTTAGATGACAATCCCATCTCTTAAAAGCTAAACATATAACATTTAATAAGAAATACAGAGAGCAACAAAGCAAACTGCCACTTCAATACTGAAAAGAACATCCGAATAAAAAAAGTTCCAATAATGAGTAAACCAAGCAAGTGAAAGTGGAAAGAAGAGCGAAGAAAGAATACCCATTCCAAGCGCTGAGAGTTCCACCTCATTGTATTGCTGCATGTACCTCTGCCAAAAGGGAGCAAAAATAAATGTATAAAAAACTAACCAAAAAAAACTAATTTAATTCATTTTTTGTTCATATAATTCCCATTTGTCTTGAATATTTTCACATCATGATCAACAACAACAACATAAATACGAACGGAAAAAACAAATGAAAACCCAAAGACATAACTCAAAGTCTCATATTATTCATTAATCACCGAGAGTTAGAAAATTAGAAAGAAAAAACAAAGTGAAGGAACCTTGGCAAGATTAACGTAGAAAAAGAGGGGTTTCTGGGTATTGGAGACTTGGATACGGTTCTTCTTGTTGTTGGAGGCTGATGAATCCACTGCCTCTGTTGTTCCCACCATTCTCGTTGTTTAGAGAGACAAAAAACAAAAACTGGAGGCTAGAGCGGTGGAGCGTGAGGAAGGAACAAGTGGCTTTGAAAAGGGATTTCAATTTTGGTAATTCCAATTTTGAGAACACAAACCCATAACCAAGTCGAAGAAGAAGATTTCAGCAGAACGAAGTGGGGGAGAAGGCTATTTTAGACAACGAAGACGGGAATAATGAAATACTTAAGGGAGACAGGGGATAGATATTCCTGGGAAAGAGAGACAAAAAATTACTGTTGGTATTAGTTTTTGACTGGTACTCGGTAATGAGGCTCATCCAAACGTAGGCATATTCCTCCGAGAAAAAAATATTCCTCTCAGAAATGAATTTTACCCTGAATCAAACGGGGCCTTATAGTATTCGGGGAAATCATATGTTGATAAATATCATTAAATTATAAAATTAGACGTCCCTGTCTCTCCTGCACTCGGGAGGCATGGTGGGGTACCGGCTCCTGTCGTTGCAATAGTTGTAGATGGTGTACTTGGTGCGAACCCAGGCCAGCCTCCTCCATTGGTACGAGTCCAGGTCCTGGAACTCCTTTTGGTCCCACCAGCGCTTCCCCTGTGTGGCACAGAACTTGGCTTCCACCGATGACTCGCACCCATCGATGCGGAACCACTTGTAGGCCGCTACGAATGGTGCTTTGGACCAGTCCGTCTTCTCCAGACCACCCCTCGTGGCCCAGTCATCGGCGTTCCACAGGCTCGAGTATATCTTTATCGGCTGATTGAATGGGAATCTCACCCCCAAATCTTTGCAGTTCTTGAGCACTCTAATCGGCACGTCGTCCACAAAGAATCTGTCCCATATGTTTCAAAAACACTACTTTAGGAAAAGATACAACACAAAGTGGAAAACAAGTAGTGCATTTCCAGGAGCAATCAATTACCCCATCCAAAGTCGTAAAAGTAAGCCAACTACTCCATGGGTGAAGTTAAACCACCAAATGTTGAAATTTACTTGATCTGATAGAGGTTCCAGAGGACGGAGTAGGAGTGGTAGTCTTTGGTTGGGTCGAACCAAAGATAAATCCTCTGCTCTCTGTCATCCTTTCCTCCGGTGAACAACATTGGTCTACAGAATGTATGGCTGTCCTGTCCTGCTCCCCAGGAACTCGAAATCTATCTCATCATGTTCCGAGTTTTGTGAAGATAACTGCCATCATGCCAGACACCAATCAGTGACTCTCAATTTTATATGAAGAGATTTAGGCAATGAGACGAGATTGGTTCTTTTTTTCTTTTTTCTTTACTCACATATAAGGCAGTAACAGTTCCGGCAGAATCTCTGGGAACCATCTTGATTTGCATACTAAAATGTCCAAACAAGTAAGACCCTTTTGACTGGAAACCGGTGCATTTCGTAACATAAAATATAAAACACATTATTATAGGAAGAGAATAGAGGCAACAGAGAGACACTAGCTTGGTTATTATATTCATACCAGTACTAGCTTGGTTATTATATTCATACCAGTATACTTGTCAAGGTAAAGCTCGATATTGGAGCCACCATTGTAGTACTTGATATGATCAAAAGCCCAAGTTGGCACATAGTTCCTCCCGAACGGCACTGCTACTGGCCTTCTAGGGGGAGCTCCCATTGTTCCAGACGCCATAACAACATACCCACCACCAAAATCCATAGGGATGAACCCATATTTCTGAACGAATCAATCCAACACTTGGACAAAAGAATAAAACAAGAGGGAGGAAGTTGAAGAAATCGCTTACCCAAGAGAAATGAGACGATTTGTGGAAAAAACAAAGCCGGGGTGAGGGGCTTATGTAAGGTTTTATTTCAATGTAGATTCTGTAGCTCTGTACTGTTTATAATAATAATTCAAATTGCAGTCGGAACAAATACACCTAATATAATATAATAAAATAATAGTTACTTTTGTATAAATCCAAATATGTCCATGATGTATGTAAGAATGGGCATGGGTCGGATTTGGGTGGAGTTTCGGTTAACCCGATTTGATTAGAAAATTTTACATCATTCATCCGATCAGACCCGATTCGAAAAATATATACCATTCACCCGATTCGAATCTGACTCGACTTTTTGATATAAAATCTAAACTCGATCCGACCCTATCTGAAATAATAAAAAAATATTTTTATTTAATAAAAATAATGATTTAATTGAAAAAATAATATATAGAGGGGTATTATTTGTTAGGATTTTCGGAAGCTCGAATCGACAACCGGAACGGTTTGCAAAGAGGGGTAGGAACGGTTTTGTGTTTAGGGAGTAAGGAGATTGAAAAATAGAGAATTGCACAGCGATTTATAGTGGTTCGACTTTCTCAATCAAAGTCTACGTCCACTACCTTAGCTCTTCACCAAGGATTTTCCAACAAATTCACTAATTTGTTCTTTCTTTTGAGGATAAAGAGTAACCTTACAAACTATTTCAAAGTTCATTTTAATCCTTACTAAAGTGTAAAATTGTGTTTTATACTTAAACTATTTAAAAACAATTTTACAAAGTATTTCGAGCCTTAATCGAGCCAAAAATATTTTCTTTTTAAAGTGTTTCAAGAAAAATCAGATTGTCCAGGGGGTACAGATTCCCCCCAGGGGAACAGATTCCCCCTTGCATGGTTTGGCTCCGAGAAATAACAGATTACTCGGAGGGAACCGATTCCCCCTTGAGGGTACCGATTCCCTCACTGTTCATCAACCCAACGGTCATAATATTTGAATATTATGAAGGGGTATCAATTCCCTATGAAGGGGTACCGATTCCCCCCATTCTGGGCAGCCTATTTTTGCATAAAAATCATTCCCAAACGGCTCCAAAACATCCCCAACGGCTAGATATGACTTCAAACACATTCCAAGCTATAAATACAAGCTAAGGACACTTGAAGAAGTAATAGAACAACTATCCAAGCAATCAAACACAAGAGAATAATTTTTCATTCTTATTTCATCTTTCTCTTGTGTTTGATTGCTTGGATAGTTGTTCTATTACTTCTTCAAGTGTCTTTAGCTTGTATTTATAGCTTGGAATGTGTTTGAAGTTATATCTAGCCGTTGGGGATGTTTTGGAGCCGTTTGGGAATGATTTTTATGCAAAAATAGGCTGCCCAGAATGGGGGGAATCGGTACCCCTTCATAGGGAATCGATACCCCTTCATAATATTCAAATATTATGACTGTTGGGCTGATGAACAGTGAGGGAATCGGTACCCTCAAGGGGGAATCAGTTCCCTCCGAGTAATCTGTTATTTCTCGGAGCCAAACCATGCAAGGGGGAATCTGTACCCGGGGAATCGATACCCCTGGGGGGAATCTGTTCCCCTTGGGGGGAATTTGTACCCCCTGGACAATCTGATTTTTCTTGAAACCCTTTAAAAAGAAAATATTTTTGGCTCGATTAAGGCTCGAAATACTTTGTAAAATTGTTTTAAAATAGTTTAAGTATAAAACACAATTTTACACTTTAGTAAGGATTAAAATGAACTTTGAAAGAATTGGAGTAATATTTTGTTATTCGAATAATTACATCGAATATACTTAGAAAATCTTTTGTAAAATCTTAAAATTCATTTAACTTAATTTGTTATATCGAAACATCAAAATGTTTTCAACAATCTCCCCCTTTTTGATATAACAAAACATTTGAGTAATTTTAAGATTTTGAAATTACTCCCCCTTACTTTAACACTTCTCCACTTTAACACCTTCACACTTCTCCCCCTTTTTGTTAAACCAAAAAGACTCTAATATTTGAAGTTCAAAATAACTTTGGAGAGTAAGTAGTAAATTTGACATTTTAAAAATCATTTGAAAAAAATCAAATCTCCCCCTCAATAAATGCATTCCAAATAAAATTTTTCTTTTAAGATCTTGACACTTAAACAAAATTGAATTTCAACAAAGAATAACAAATATGTTAGTAGCATATGAAATTCAATATATCCAAGACTAAAATACTTTATGCAATACCAATTGTTGAATTTAAGATCATATGCATAAAGTTTTCTAAAAATGTTATGCATTTGAAATTTTTTGATATAAATTATTAGAGGGATATCATTTTTATTTAAACCACATGCATAAACATTTAAATTTAGGTCAATTTTTTTAAAAGATTTATAAAATCAAAGTATTTGAAAAGTTGATATCAATTGTTAGAGAGATATCATTTGCATTAAAACAAATTTTAACCAAAATTTTATTATGATGAACTAAAAATTCTGAAAATCAATACAATTTTAAAATGTTCATCATAATCATCTTTTCAACATACATGAGAGTAAAACAATGATGCATAATCATTTAAAACCAAAACTCATGCATGCTTAAAATCAAATGAGCAACCAAATAATCCAAAATTAAAAGTATTAAGCTTAGAGGTTATCCATTCCTTTTTCATGTGTGGCTAGAGCATCTTGAATATCATCATTTTCATCACAATTGCTTCCACACACCTAAAAGAGACATTTAAGTAGATTTTGGTATCCAAATTGCTTTAGATCCTTGAACGTTAGTTACAATGCCCCTTGTTCCTTTTGGAACCCATACTTGCCTAATTTTAAAATGTTTTCCTTTCTTCAAAGGACAAGTATGTTCCATATGACCATGATAATGGCAATGTGAGCATTTTGCCTTTTTTAAACATAATAGATTGTTTTTAGAAATTAATTCTTTTTCTTTTGTTAAGCTTTCAAGCTTAACTTATAACTCAAAATTTTTCATTTCTAAATCATTTATTTTGATTTTTGAAAGTTCTAAATCATTTTTCAAAATTTCATTTTGATTTTCAAAATCAACTCTAGCTTTCAAAATCGATTTATTTTCAATTTTGAGTTTTGAAATTAATTTCGTATATTTGGAATTCATGGTCTTAAATCCCAAATACAACCTATTATAAGCATCTTGTAACTCATCAAAAGTAAATGAATTAAATTCATTTGAGTTAGAAGATACCTCGAATTCTTCTTGAGTGGTCATGAGGCATAGGTTGACTACTTCATCTTCATCATTGGAATCATCTTCATCACTCCAAGATGCAACAAATGCCTTCTTCCCCTTTTTCTTTAAAAGAGGACATTCATTTATGACATGCCCCTTTCTTTGACAATCAAAACATATCGGGGGACTCTTCTTCTTGGTTGATTCATGTTTCACTTCCTTGGAAATCATGAATCTCTTGAGTTCCTTCAAGAGCTTGACCATCTCTTCTTTTTTTTCATCATCGTCTTCACCCACCTCATCACTTAAATCTTGATAGCTTTCATTGATGCCTACGTCCTCATTCTTCTTCTTCTTCTTGTTTTTCTTCTCTTCCCTTTATTCATCTTCCTTCACCATCATCTCATGAGTGAGAAGGGAACCAATTAGCTCGTCGAGAGTGAGAGACTTTAGGTTTCTTACTTCGATAATGTCCGTCTTCTTTGATTGCCACTCCTTTGGAAGAGAGTAAATCATCTTCCTCACAAGCTTCTCATTTGGGATTACTTCTCCATATCCATTGAGACCGTTGACAATCATAGAGAATATATCCGTCATAGCTTTGATGTCTTCATCGGGTTTCATCTTGAAGTTCTCGTAGCTATGGTTGAGAAGACTTTTCTTTGATTCCCTCACTTTTTCGGTTCCTTCATGAGTGACTTGGAGCTTATCCCAAATCTCTTTGGCACTAGAACAAGATGAGACTCTTCCATATTCATTTGGGCCTAAAGCACAAAATAGAATATGTATAGCCTTAGAATTAAGCTGAAAATTTTTCTAATCTTCTCTACTCCAATCGTTGTACTTGCCGGGTGGAAAGGAGTAACCGTCCATGATTGAGTACCAAGCTCCTAGATTGTATGATTGAATGAAGTACATCATCTTATTCTTCCAATGTGCATAATTTGCTCCATTGAAGAAGGATGGCTTGTTGACCGGTTGTGAATCCATAATAGGATATTCTTCAAGATAATAAGCACTGGAGGAAAAAGTCATTTCTTTGTCGGTTGCGTCGGGAATTGGTAGAGCTTCTTATAGGATCGTCTCAAGGTGGTTAAACCTTCTTAACGAGTTAGGCTCTGATGCCAATTGTTAGGATTTTTGGAAGCTCGAATCGACAATCGGAACGGTTTGCAAAGAGGGGTCAGAACGGTTTTGTGTTTAGGGAGTAAGGAGATTGAAAAATAGAGAATTGTACAGTGATTTATAGTGGTTCGACTTTCTCAATCAAAGTTTACGTCCACTACCTTAGCTCCTCACCAAGGATTTTCTAACAAATTCACTAATTTGTTCTTTCTTTTGAGGATAAAGAGTAACCTTACAAACTCCCTAGTTTTTCCGGGCTAAACTAGAACCTTTCCCTAGCTTTTACACGGGCTAAGCTAGAACATTTCCCCTTTACAAAAGGATAAGAAATGTAAACAAGAAAACCTCTCTAAGGTAGGTGTTTACAAGATTGAGCTCACAAGAACAAAATATATACAAGAGAAAGATGAAATAAGAATGAAAAATTCTTCTCTTTTGTTTGATTGCTTGGATAGTTGTTCTATTACTTCTTCAAGTGTCCTTAGCTTGTATTTATAGCTTGGAATGTGTTTGAAGTCATATCTAGCCGTTGGGGATGTTTTGGAGCCGTTTGGGAATGATTTTTCTGCAAAAATAGGCTGCCCAGAATGGGGGGAATCGGTACCCCTTCATAGGGAATCGATACCCCTTCATAATATTCAAATATTATAACCGTTGGGCTGATGAACAATAAGGGAATCGATACCCTCAAGGGGGGAATCGGTTCCCTTCGAGTAATCTGTTATTTCTCGGAGCCAAACCATATAGGGGGAATCTGTACCCGGGGAATCGATACCCCTGGGGGAATCTGTTCCCGGGGAATCGATACCCCCTGGGGGGAATCTGTTCCCCCTGGGGGGAATCTGTACCCCCTGGAGAATCTGATTTTTCTTGAAACCCTTTAAAAAGAAAATATTTTTGGCTCGATTAAGGCTCGAAATACTTTGTAAAATTGTTTTAAAATAGTTTAAGTATAAAACACAATTTTACACTTTAGTAAGGATTAAAATGAACTTTGAAAGACTTGGAGTAATATTTTGATATTCGAATAATTACATCGAATATACTTAGAAAATCTTTTGTAAAATCTTAAAATTCATTTAACTTAATTTGTTATATCCAAACATAAAAATATTTTCAACATTATTATAATTATTTCTAAATATATAAGGTAAAATTATATCTTTTTTCATTCGGGTATTTTTCACCCTAAACCTGAATCCAACCCAATCCGAACATTACCTGTAGAAAAACTCGACCGACCCCGATTCGAACCCAATTTTAAAAAAAATCTCCGACCCAATCGGGTTGGGTCAGGTCGAAACCCATAAGATTCGATCCCATTTTGAATTCGACCCAACCCGAACATTACCTGTAGAAAAACTTGACCGACCCCGACTCGAACCCAATTTTTTTTAAAAAAAAAACTCCGACTCAATCGGGTTGGGTCAGGTCGAAACCCATAAGATTCGGTCCCATTTTCATTCCCAGGGAGGAGATAAAATTTATCTGTTTGTATGTAAAACAAATGATTGGTTAGGCTTATAGAAATAAATATTCAATCTCAATATATGATCTTGCATTAATATCATTTTATTAAAAAAAAGTTATTTTATTAATTGATTAATTTAGATTATATATTATAGAGGTTCGTTAAAATAACGATCTTTGATCTCAATTGTTTTATTCACTCTGATAAAATTTGAACTCGATTACTAAATAAATTTATTATGTCATATCATCAGTCCAATTAATTGTTAGTTAAATACAAAATTATTTATATCTTACTTGAATATGTAATAATAACATTAAAATTAATTATATTGAAACAACATTTAAAAGTTTGTTTAAAAATCATCACTTAAATATATTAAAATATAATTATTTTTTAAATTTAAGAGTAAAATATATAAATAATCTCTAAACTTTTAAAAAATTTATATTTTTATCACTTAACTTTTAAAATTTAAAATATAAATAATCTCTAAACATTTAAACCTTTAGTTCGTTCTTATTATGTTACCTCATGTTAGTTTTTACATTTCAGGCATGATAAGCAGGAAGCTGTTCGGCATATAAAGATTAAAAAGAAAAAAAGAAACTGTAGGACCCAAAAACAGGCTGACAGATTTGGTGCAGAAGAACAGATCCATGTTATTGAGTTTGGAGTGATGGATATAAATGTGTGTAACAGCGTTGTCCACTTCACTGGTAGATTTGACCTAACTCACAAGCTATAATTCCTGATGTAACACTGTTTGATTAATATTTTTTTTAACTAACACTCTTTCGTTGAGCTAGTATAAAGGTGCGTTCCAGAGATACGTTTTACTGAGATTTATTTATGTGGACATAAGAAGTGTTTTTAGGGATGCGTTTTTTAGCTACATGTAAAATTTGGTTGTTAATATGATAAATATTTTTAAATTGATGCTTAATATATAATTAAATTATATTATGGTGATATTTATGTAAAAATGTCAACTTTATTTATTTATTTTTTATTGTGAAAAAAAAACTTTCTACGTTAAAATCTTTAAATATTCTATTGAAAATTATTTTATAACTCGACAAATTTTAATTTTCGCATGAAATAATACAATATGTATAATCTAGTATAGGAAAACATTAAGGGTAAGTAATTTAAAATATGAGTAATTTTATAAAAATTTTATAACTAGTATTTTTTTTTATAAAATGATAATGATGATGATGATGAGAAATATTTTATAATTTAAAAAATTATAAATTTTATATATTTTTGAAAAATTATTGACTTTTAAAATTAATTGTTTAAAAATATAAAAAAATATTAAAATAAACTTTTAATTACAATTGAGGGATCAAATAAATTATTATTCATTAATTATTAATATTTATTTTATATTTTTTATAATTAATATTATAAATAGTATTTTTAAATAAAGATGCGATATTTTTTAGCCTTACATCTTTTTCATTAGAATTTAAAATTTATTTATAATTTTTAAAATTAATATTAGAAAGAATATTTTAAATAAAGAGATGATATTTTAATAATTAATGAATAATAATTCATTTGATCCCTCAATTATAATTAAAAGTTTATTTTAATATTTTTTATATTTTTAAACAATTAATTTTAAAAATCAATAAATTTTTAAAAAATATATGAAATTTATACTTTTTTAATTATAAAATATTTCTCATCATCATCATTTTGTAAAAAAAATACTAATTATAAAACTTTTATAAAAAAATTCATATTTTAAATTACTTACCCTCAAAGTTTTCCTATACTAGATTACACGTATTTTGTAATTTCATGCAAAAAATAAAATTTGTCGAGTTATAAAATAATTTGCAATAGAATATTTAAAGATTTTAACGTAAAAAAAAATTTCACAACAAAAAATAAATAAATAAAGTTGACGTTTTACATAAATATCACCTTAATAGAATTTAACTACATATTAGGCACCATTTTACAAATATATACAATATTAGCATATGATTTTTACACTTTGTTGGAAAGCGCATCCCTGAAAACGCGCTTTACGTCTTTTGTGCCACCTCAGCTGAAAGAATGTTAGTTAGTGAAATATTGGTCAAAGGTTGTTATATCGGACATATTAAGTTTATAGGGTGTTAATGGCAACGCATTATTTTCATTGGCATTTTACCCGTATTAGTTTCATTCCAATCATCCATGCACTACTATAAAATTGGCACATCTGCTCTAAATATGGACTCAACAGGACTAGACTACTCTCTTTCTATTTTATTTCCAATAAAATGCTGCCTGCCTGCCTGCCTGTATTCCAATATACAAAATACTTCTAGTGTATTGACGGCATCGGGTGCGGTATAATAGAAAATGCATTAAGATAATTAATTATGATTTGATGCCATACAGCTAAGAGGAAAGAGACGCGATTTGCTTGATTTAATACACTTAAAAGATACACTCAATATGCTGCTGCCTTATCAACTACCGGCACTTCCATGTAACCGACGCCCGACCTGATTCGATGCCCCGCTTGCTGACTCAATTTCATATGCATATTGTCACGTCCCCAGAACTTCGACGCCTCACACCGTCGGAATATCAGAGTCAAGGTCTGAAGGGTCGTGCGGCCTTAGACGCTTTAGACGCTCCTCGGTCTTCTCGGCGACTAAGTAAGCCTTACCCAAGCTAAGTGAGTGTGCAAACTCACAAAGGTTGGAACCAAGCCCTCAAGGCTTCGGATTGCGGAAGCTTTAGAATGCCGACAAGGTCGGACTATCGTGTGGAAGTGCTAACACGAAGGTGGCTACTCCTGGCCACCAAGCTAGGCAACAAGAACAAAGAACTAAGAACTCGGAAAGAATAGAGCAAATGCCTCAGAGCTTTATTACTCTCTCACAAAGAGAAGAATGGAATTGGGTGATTACAAATGAGGAGGAGAGCTCTCTATTTATAGTTGAGCTCCCTCTCAATCAATGGCCTAGATCATTTTACATCAACGGCTATGATTTGCCCAATTAATGACAAATCCCCTAAATCAAGGAATTACAACCAAATCCTTCCTAATTACATCCATTAGTAGGATTCTTTCCTTGGATAGGTGTTCACACTAGATATGGTAAGATTTTCCCACAATATCTTCCTGATTTTGTTGCCTCTTGCCATATTTACCGAGCTTCTGTGATCATCTTCAGATATGATGCCACTTTCCTTTTCTGCACGGCCAATGTGAACGGGCTCCATAAAATTCTCCAAGCGATGGGCCAAGTTTGGTGGCTTTGGCAAGCCCGATAACTATCTTGAGATTCCCTTTCGGACTCTTGCACCAATGTCTTAGCAAGCCCGATCCTCTGTCTTGAACCTCTCTGTCGGACACTTGCACCAGTGTCTCGGACCCAAGTTCCTAGCCCGTGACACTCTCCCCCACTGAACTTAGCGATGCCCTCGTCGCTGCACTCAACGATCCTGGGCAACACCAATTTGGATACTTTTCCTTGCCTTGGCTTGTTGCGGTCCTCCCATACGAACTGCTTGCCTTGGCTTCTGCTGCATGTAACTTCACGATCCCTCGCGCCATACTTCACATCAACTTGGTTGCCTTTCGACGCCTTCGCTTGCTCATGTCCCCCCATAAGGACTCAGCCTCCCATAATGGTTGTGCTTGCTTCAGCTCTTGCCGCCAAGTGATGAAATGGGCTAACACGCCCACAAGTGCATCTCTTCCGTAGGAACTCCTTCCTAGAAGTCTTGATTTGCCTCGACTTGGACCTCCTTGTCCTTTGCGGCAAAGTCTTGGATCCCATCCAAACTTTGTTCCATCCGCGTTAAGAGTTAGGTCTTGCCCGACCTAAACTCACTTAAAGTTGCAAATCAAGCTCACAAGAACACAAGAATAGTGTTGAGATGTACCTTCCCCTCTGATTTAGTTGGCATTTGCTCAAATTTTTGCGTCAGCCCTTCTTACTCCATGAAGTCTGACACTCCCCGCATTGAACCCTTGTCATTGGAGTTCTTTGCGCCATCATGCATCGGCACTTTCTCGCGGCAAAGTCCGATGCCCTTCCTCGCATCCTCCCTTCTAACACGAAGGGTGGAGCTCGCTTCCCACCTTTGAAATGGGTGGTGTCTCCACGGTTGCCTTGTCCCTCAACGTCTTGGCCTCCTTCGACTCTTGTCTACGAGTCTTTGAAGGATTGTTCCTCTCTTGAACATCCTCGGCAAGCCCTTGCTTCGACTCCTTGGACATGGACAACTTGGTCTGCCCTTGGCCTCTACTTGCTTTGGCAGAAATGAACCGTATTGAGCCAAGTCGCAACGCCCCCTCGATCATTGGTTCGTCCTCTTCTTTGGACAACTCGATCCTGGGCTCATCCGTTACCTTGGATG